GGCAGAGTGTTGTCACCCTATAACAGGAAGTGTCTGAAAAACAACCTGGGTTCACCAGGGACTATTTTAATGAAAGCTGCAGATTTTAAAAGAATGAAAATTACTTTTGAAATGGCGACAACATGTTAAAAAGATCAGATGAGATTTTACAGATTAGTTTTACATCTGCTTTAAATATATCTTTTTATAATGTTTAATTTTTTTTTAAACCCCATAAAGGGTTAAAATAAAAATTGATCAACATAAGTATTGTTTCCCTTTACAGGGGTACGTTCTGAATAAGCCACGGTTGCAGTGTTGCCTGGATAGCATCAGCACTGGTTGACTTATTATTCACCTAGCATATGGCTGGGGGGAGATTTATATAGGAAATTCCTACGTTCCTTGGCTCCATCTAGTCGCGGGAATGATGTGTGAATGACATTCACCCAGCGAATGGCTGAGGGGGGATATACCTGTATATAGGAAATTCCTATGCTCCTCCGCTCCATCTAGTGGCGGGAATGCCATATGGCTGGGGGGAAGATTTATATAGAAAATTCCCAGCATGTGGGGGTGGGGGTGGATTTATATAGGATGTTGCTATGCTCCTCGGCACCATCTAGTGGCGGGAATGATGTGTGAACGGCATTCGCCCAGCATATGGTGGGGGTGGGGATTTATATAGGATGTTGCTATGCTCCTCGGCACAATCTAGTGGCGGGAATGATGTGTGAACGGCATTCGCCCAGCATATGGTGGGGGTGGGGATTATATAGGATGTTGCTATGCTCCTCGGCTCCATCTAGTGGCGGGAATGATGTGTGAACACTGAATATGAACATATGATCTATCACGATCGATCAAAAACAATAATTGAATGGATCTGTATTATGATCAGTCGGCTGATCATATCGATAGGCGTGCGGTCACCTGATGGTGGTCTACATTGAACACTTCGAAACCCAGTTCAGAGCTTCTTCTCGGCCACATTAAAAGGTGGAGAGCAGCAGGTGGCCGGCTCAGATAAGCAGCACAGAGAGAGGGCGTGTGAGCCGAGCTCCCATCTGGCCGGCCACATCTCTGATAAGAAGTCGGCCCTCACCTCGTCTCCATCTCCCAGCCCCGGCGGCGTTTCCGAGAGCACTGCGTTTTCTCCCTCCGTTTTCTTCTTTTTGCTGCATTCCTAAAAAAGATACAACATAGAGAATTAAAAAAACACGTCAACCCCGACTGGGTGACCCTTAGTATGCTCTGTATACTTTGTATCATTTACTCGGTGCTGCTGATGTCCTTCAGCTTCTGGCACCAACTTCCTGTCTACATCCACTGGCTCCAGTCAGCCCCAGATCATCACTCTTGACTGGTACCCTGATGGTGACAACACCAGGCCTGGGCAATGTGTGTCAGCACGGCTGCTTGGTAGGTTTCACCAGGGGAGCATGTGACGGGGTGACAAATGCAGGAGAGCAATTGGTAGACGGGGGCAGAACTTTGTCACCCTATAACAGGAAGTGCCTGAACAAAAGATGTCAGGCAGACAGGGGCAACCAAAATGAAGACAGGGACTACTGGCCCCCCCACTGAAAATAGTCTCAACTGTGATATTTACATATGAATAAGCCGCGGCTCATTCTCCCCCCACAAAATGTCCGCGCATCGCTGGAGTGTTAAGGTTCCGCTTGAAGAAAAGGTGGCAACCCTACCACACATCCTCCCTCTAGACTTCAGGTCAGGCCCGAAGACCCGCACCCTCCATCCTGTGGAGTGGAAAAAAAACACAAAAAGTGGAACGTGCACAAACAAGTGAGAAAACGAAATAAGTGCCAATGTGCGAGACAAAGGCCAAGCCTTGAGGCCCGGTATTAAAAAAAAAAAAATGTCCCCCGGTCTTAGCCAAAAGGGCCTAGCCCAAGAGGCGATGTGCAGAAAAAGCTAGTGGTGTCATGGCCAGCATGCCATTCACATAGAGGGGTCCCAAACCCATAGTGCTACTCCTGGGGGGCACTTGACACCACGGGCTCCCCAACTTCCAAGCAATCCAAGACCAGATAGACCCATTCAAAATCAGGAAGAACTGGGCCCTGCCAGATCCTGGACCTAGGGAAGTACTTTCAAACCCCACTCATAAGTGAGTGGATGCTTCCATTCAGTTTCCTTAACCCGGCCAGCACCCTTCGGGACCACCATCATCTCAGGCAGGGCACTGTGCACAGCCAGCCATTCCTAGCGCAAGGCCAGAACAGCGCCACATATCCCCTCCTGAACACTGATCGGAACAGATACTACACTGGATCTTAACCGGGAGTCTCCCCAATGGGACAGACAGCAATGAAAGTTGTAAGAAGTTCTTCTCACCCTTCCACACTTTACTGAAAAGGCCTTTTTATTGATGGCCGTGCATCATCGGGGAGATTCACCCCCACTTCCTGTCTCGGTGACACCAGTCATGATTCACGTGCCTAGTGTGGCATTATGTCTTCTGGTAGCGTGACTCCAAGGAGATATTCGAGATGTATATTTACAGACAGGACTTTGAAATCTTAGTGAATAATATATATGGGGAACAGATGACATCTTATGTGACAACCAGCTCGGAGGGACGGGCAGGACTCGCGGCTGTGCCGATAGCAACCTGAGCTCCCAATTACGACAACTGAAGATGAAAAATCTCGGAGGATTCCATTGCTGGTTACATAATGAAGGACATTTAGAAGAAAACTTGTGTGGGCAATATATCTGCACCTTCCGAGTTCTGGTTTCTTGTGGTCACCACAATCTCAAATAAAAGCCCCTCACATTATTTTATGTCCACAATCAGGCAATGACAGCAACTCCCATTTTTATATGTAATGATTAAAAACTGCAAAACTTTATTAAAAGGAAATGGAACGCTCCGAATTATTTCTCTAAAAGGGAAAAAGTAACATGCCCGCAAATGGGATTTAAAGGCCACACACATATGATTTCTCTCCGGTTCTCTTTATATTAACCATCCCTCCAAACACCAACTATCCCTGGGACCCCAACACTGACCCTCCCTCCCTGTCTGTACTTATGACCCCCGTGCTCTGCGCACTACACACTCCTGACCACGTGCACTACACACTCCTGACCCCCGTGCTCTGCGCACTACACACTCCTGACCCCCGTGCTCTGCGCACTACACACTCCTGACCCCCGTGCGCTACATGATTCTGTCCCCTGCACTCTGCAAACTCCTAAACCCCCTGCGCTACATGATTCTGTCCCCTGCACTCTGCAAACTCCTGACCCCCGTGCATTACACACTCCTGAACCCCGTGATCTTGTGTACGACACACTCCTGACCCTCGTGCTCTGCGCACTACACACTCCTGACCCCCGTGCACTGCGCACTACACACTCCTGACCCCGTGCACTACACACTCCTGCCCCCCGTGCGCTTCCTGATT